TTCCTCTCTATGCTCCATTCCCTACATTATGGAACAGTAATATATATCCTGTGCCATTAAATGTTGGAAGTATGTGATCTGTTTTAATTTTGATTTTACAGGGCATTACAGTTAAGAGATTGCATGAACCTCAGGAAAAGACTTTGAACTTTAAAACATTGTTGAGACTGTGATAAACTATGAGGACTTTTAAAGTTGAACTAAAAGCATTTTGCGTTATGACGTGATTACAAGCTTATGGGAGCCAGGGAGTGAAATGTGGTAGTTTGAAACACACACACATACACACCAAAAATCAAAAACAAAAACAAAAATCAGAGGCAGGGGCTATACACAAATCTGAAACTGTGGAATCTGGTGTTTAGCTCTGGCTTCCTGAAGCGACTTCATTGCAGGTAGAGCAAGAATGAAGAGCAGAAGGGAAGGGGGGAAGGTAGTAGGGTCCTAGGCTATTCTGCATCGAAACTCTGAGGATGTAAGGGAATCCAAATAAAAACTTAGGGGCTGGAGAGATGGCTCATCAGTTAAGAAAGTATACTGTTCTTACAGAGGACCCAGGTTCATTTCCCAGGACCCACTTTAAGCAGCCCATAATAGCTCCTAACTCCAGCTCTAAAGGTATCCAGTGCTCTGCACTCCCTGCACTAGCACTTATATGCATATACTCATTGCACTGGTTAGGTTTTTTCTTTTTTAATCAACTTAACACAAGGTGGGATCATTTGAGAAAAGGGAACCTCAACCGAGAAAATGCATCCATCAGTTGGCCTGTAGCAAGTCTGTAGGGCATTTCCTTTATTTATCTCAAGACAGGTTTCTCCGTGCAGCCCTGGCTGTCCCAGAACTTGCCCTGTAGGCCAGGCTAGCCTCAGACTCAGAGATCCCCCTAACTCGGCCTCCTGAATGCTGGGATTAAAGGTGTGCACCACCACCTCTCAGCCTCAGAACCTGTTCTTAGGAGAGCAGGTTTGAGACTTTCCGGAAAAAAATCTCTGGGGTTCTTTTGTGGCAAGTGTGGATTACGAGAGGAGGGGATGGTTCCTAAGTGGGTGGGTCCTTTGGCCCTGAGGTTCCCTTGCCCCATGAAAAGAACCAGGGCCCTTTTTGCCCAGGTCTGAGAGCCTTGCTGACTTGCCAGTGTCTTGCATCTCTATTGAGTCAGGCCGAGCTGATACCCACTCAGTCCCTAGTCATGTTAGCGCTGTTCTATTTGTTTGCTGGGCCTTGGGGTCCAAGGCTGGGACTTGTAAAACCTAAGTGTCCTGTTTCTAATATGTGGAGATCATTTTCAAGACCCAAACTCTCCTCTACAATCACCTTGAGGTCATTGTAAGTGCCACCTGTCACCTGCGCCTCTGTTGAGTCTGTCGTTTACATCCCAAGCAAGCCCCAGAGCCTGGCTGGTTCATCGGGCATCACATTTCTCTCTGGCTCTGTTGGTCCCCAGACTGCTGCTACTTAATGATGCCAGCAGCAAGCTAATGATGGCAAGGAACATGAGTGTGAATAGCACTTTGTAAACTGTGATGCTCCTGTTATCTTTTTTCTGTTTTTAAAATTTGTAGAAGTGTTTTGCCTGTATGCATATATATGTGTACCACGTGCATGCCTGGGCAATATGGGACGTCCTTCTGTATGCTGCAAATATGTGTTGCTTTTATTGATTGATGAATAACGCTGTTTTGGCAGAATTTTGCTAGGCAGGAAATCAGAACAAAGGTACAGAGAGAAGGAAGACAGAGTCAAGGAGAGGCCATGTAAAGAGTTAAGGGCATCACTGGTTAGCCACAACCACTTGGAGATACACAGATCAGTAGAAATGGGTTAATATTTTAAGAGAGAGCTAGCCAATAATAAGCCTAGACCATTGGCCAGACAACTATGGAGAGGGAAGCACAGCTCCCACCCAAGCAGTTCCAGAGCTGGTGGTCTGCCTTATGTCTCTGTCGCTCTCTTTTTCTGTGTGTTTTGAAACAGGGTCCACAATGTAGTCCTGGAATTGACAGAGACCCACCTGCCTCTGCCTCCCACACCTAGATCTCACTTTCTCTTAATCCTCGTGTTTATGACTATATTAAACCCCAACTGCTTCATAGAAATAGAGACAGAGACACACAGAAAGACAAGAGGCAGACAGACAGAGTGAGTGAGTGAGACTCAGAAGAAAGTATGACATGTTCAAGAGTGTCTTCTCTTGTGTGGGCTGCTATTTTTAAAAAATCACAGAAACTAAGAGATACCAAGTGTGGGTATATGCTCCCCAAGGATAACAGCCTATTTTTAAAAAGTGTGTGTGTGTGTGTGTGTGTGGGCATGGGGGTACGCAGGTGTGGGGGGGCCGAGGACAAAGCAACTTCAGGTGTCATCCTCAGGCATGCTGTTCATCCCCTTTGAGACAGACCCTCCCGTTGACTTGGAGGTCAACAAGTAGGCCGAGACGTCTGGCCAGGAAATGTCAGGGACCTTCCTGTACGCAGTGTTGAGGTTAAAGCATTCACCACCAATCCCGGCATTCTCACCTGAGTTCTAGAGATCAGACTCAGGTCCTCATGCTTGCAAGGCGGGCGTTCTGACTGAGCCATCTCCCCAGTGCATCAGAGTCCCTATTGGAAAATCTGCCCTTGGACATGGTGGCACACACCCTTAGCTCCAGCATTCAAGAGGCCAAGACATGTAGACTTCTGTGAGTTTGAGGCCAGCCTGGTCTACCCAGTGAGATTCTGTCTCAAAAAAAAAATGTCCTCATGAGCTGATGGTGGAACTTGCCTGTAGCCATAACACTCAGTAGAGTGAAGTAGGGTATCAAAACCAGCTGGTGTTACATTGCATGAGAATGTCTCGAAAGTTACTTTTCCTTTTTTTCTAATTTCTCAGTAGTCATCTTCCTCATTGCGTTTCCAAGGGAACCCAAAAAAAATCCAAGTGGGCTAAATGATTAATAAATAGCCAGGCGGTAGTGGCTTTAATCCCAGCACTCGAGAGCAGAGGCAGGTGGATCTCCAGCCTGGTCTACTGAATGAGTTTCAGGACAGCCAGGGCTATGCAGAGAAATCCTGTCTCGAAAACTCAAAAATAAATAAATAACCTGGGCATGGTGGTGTGTGCCTTTAATCCCAGCTCTCAGTAGTTAAGAACACTGGTTGCTCTTCCAGAGGACTGGAGTTCAGTTCCCAGCATGCACAGGGCAACTCACAACCACCTGTAACGCCAGTTCTAGGGGATCCACAAGCGCTGCACACGCGTGGTGCACAGGTATACATGCAGACAAAACTTCAGGACATAAGATTAATGAATTTTGAAAACAAACAAAAAATTAATACACCACGCTGTGCACTGTCACAGTAGTATTGACAATTTCACCACGTGAGAAATCTTGGAGAGCTCTTTTAACTCCTTAGGTCTGACCCACATTTAAAATTGTAAAGTTTGTAGTTACCGCGGGTAGGGGGTGTATGCACGTGATGTGGGGAGCGTGTGTCATTCAAGTGTGGAGGTCAGAGGACAGCTGTATGGAGTTAGCTCTCCTTCCACATTCGTGTGGGTTCTGGGGATCACACTCCGGTCTCTGGTCTGCAAATGCCTTTAACTGCTGAGCCGTCTCCCCTGCCCGAGCCACAGTTCTGCACTCCCCAGACCGTGTGGTAGCTGTCTGGGGTGTTAGGCTGGAGTTAGGCAGTGGTTAGGGTGGTGAGGTACAGAAGGAAGAAGAGGGTGTTCTTTTGCCAATGCCAGATGAGGACTGACATTACTGTCTGTTGTTATTTTAAACATTTATTCTTTCTGTTGTTGTTGCTTCTGATACAAGGTTTCTCTGTGTAGCCCGAGCTCTTCTGAAACTTGATATGTAGGCCAGTCTGGCCTTGAACTCAAAGAAATCCACCTGCCACTGCCTCCTGGGTGCTGGGATTAAAGGTGTGCACCAGCACTGCTCAGCTGCTTTTATTTTTTGAAATATTTATTTATTTGAGAGTGTGTAAGTCTGTGTGAGTGTGTGGAGATGCACGCATGGAAGCAAGAGGAGAACGTTGGATGTTCCATGTTCATAACTCTTGCCCTCTTCCTTTGAGGCAAGGCCTCTCTCTACGACTCCTGCTTTCTCAGCTACAGTAGAGATCAGGAAAACCCAGATGTCTCTGTCTCCCCGTGAGCTGGTCCCTACAGGTGCGTTCAGGAAAGACCTGGCTTGTCACATGGTGCTGGGGGAGCTCTGACCGTCATGATTGTGCAACAAGCACTGTTAATGTCCGATCCATCTCTCTGGCCCCCAGTGACAAAGTAGAGCTCTAAGCCCATGTGGGCTCTGCCCGAGCACCAGGGACCACACAGGAAGTCTAGGAAGGAGGAGGAGCCAGCAAGGGCACTGAAAGGGAAGCAGGACAGGGCACTTAGTCGGGGGAACTTGTGTCAAGGGGTGATCCGCTGTGGGAGAAGATGCTGGTGCCCGAGAAAGACGGTGATGAAAGGGAGCTGATCACAGCATGGAGCCCATTGGTGACGTCGACCGGAGAGGGCCTGGGGAGAAGGAGGGGGCAGAGGTGTGGTTAGAGTGGGCTCCCAGAACCGTGGGAAGAGAAGCAGCCCCACAATGTGTGGGCATCCCTGTTGCGGAATATTAGTTTAAGATGTGTAACATTTGTTTGTGCTGTGGAGTATCTGCTTAATGATGCAAAGATGTGTTGCATTCTTTTATGTTGCATTTGTTTAACTCTATAAAGCTGTGATTCTTTGCCTGTCCAAAACATCTGATTGGTCTAATAAAGAGCTGAATGGCCAATAGCTAGGCAGGAAAAAGAAACAGGAAGGGCTGGCTGGCAGAAAGAATAAATAAGAGAAATCTAGGCTAAAGAGTGATGGCTGGATGTTGGTGGAACATACGTTTGATCCCAGCACTCAGGAGGCAGAGGCAGGCGGATCTCTGTGAGTTGGAGGCCAGCCTTGTCTACAGAGCAAGTTCTAGGACAGCCTCCAAAGCTACACGAGAAAATCCTGTCTCAAAAAAAAAAAAAGAAAGAAAGAAGGAAAGAAAGCAAGCAGGAACAGTGAGAAAAGAGGAAGGAGAGGAGGATGTCCAGGTGAGCCACCCAGTCACACAGCCAGCCACCGAGTAAGAAGGGAAGCAAGATACAGAGAATAAACAGGTAAAAAGCCCAGAGGCAAACGTAGTTAAAGGGAAGCGGGATAATTTAAGTTAGAAAAGTTGACTAGAAACAAGCCAAACTAAGACCAGGCATTCATAAGTAAAATAAGACTCCATATATTTATTTGGAGCTGGGTGGCAGGCCCCCAAAGAGAAAAAACAAAACAAACAAAAAAACCTACACATCCCATTGCTCAGAAGAGTTTCCCCCTGGATTTAACAGTGTCTGTGTCACCGAGACCATGCCCTCACTCCCAGGACCCGAGTAGCTCTGCTTCTGATGGTCTGCCTCATTTAGAGTTGATCTGGGGACCGGGCACTCCTTGAACATGCAGCCCACACAGCAGAGTTCCCACCCCGTCCTCCCCCAGCACCTGAAGCTATCTTGGCTTTACAAGCTGCAGGTCTGCACTTCAGAACCCGTGGCCTCACTTGCCCTCCCCACCACCCTGGCTTTTGTCCCCAAGTGAGCCGTGTTTCCAGTTTGACGCTGTCTCTTCTGCTCACAGGGACTGCAGCTCCTGTTTGAGCGTCTCTCTTGCCGTGGTCCCAGAGCACAGCATAGACCTTCCCTGCCTTGTCCTGTACTTTGAGGAGACATAGGTAGCAACTGATTCTGTGGTGTATTAAAATCGGGCCAAGAGCCAGACTTGGTGGCTCACACCTATAATGCCAGCACTTGGAAGCAGGAAGGTTGGGAGTTCAAATCCAACTTGGGAAATATAGTGAGTTCCAGGCCAGAGTGAGGCTCTGTGACTATAAAGATTAATTATTGGCATTCCTATCATGATGAGCTTCCTTCCTCCCTTGCTCATTGTGATCTCTGATGGGTAGGAGCTGTGGTTGTCTGCTTGGCAAGGTAGTCTATATGTCACTGCCCTGTTTTTAAAAAAGCCAGCAGAGTCCTAATTGCTGCACACTCATACACTTCTTCAAAAACTCTTTGTTACATTTTTAAAATCCATGTTATGTTTTTGTTGTCTTTTGTTTGTTTGTTTTTGTCTTGAGACATGGTCTTACTATACAGCATTGGCTGGCCTGGAGCTTCCTATGTAGGCCAGGCTGGCCTGGAACTCAGAGAGGTTCACTGGCCTCTGCCTTTCCAGTGTTAGAATTAAAGGTATTCACTGCCGTGCCTGGCTGTTTTGTCAGATAAGCTCTCGATGTATAACCCAGGCTGACCTTGAACTCCTCATCCTGCTGCCTCACCCTCCAAGGTGCTGAGATTATGAGTGTGTGCCACCATATCCATCTTTAAAAAAAAAAAGCCGGGCGTTGGTGGCGCACGCCTTTAACCCCAGCTCTCGGGAGGCAGAGGCAGGCGGATCTCTGAGTTTGAGGCCAACCTGGTCTACAGAGCGAGTTCCACGACAGCCAGGGCTACACAGAGAAACCCAGTCTTGAAAAAAACAAAACAAAACAGATTCTGCCTCAAGTTTATTTATAGACACAGCACAGGACAGCAGCCATCTGCAAACCGTGAGGAGAGAGGGGCCCCACCAGTCCATCTGTCTTCATTTTGGCAGACAGAGAGAGGCTGGGCTTTCACAGGAGCCTGGGGACCTTTGGGACCTGAGCTGGAAGTGGGGCAGGTACTGGGTCCTGAAGCGGCAGCACTGGTGACAGTGTCCTACACAGGAGGGTGCCATTTGTCGGAACAAAGCCAAAAGAACGGTGCATGGTGAACAATGCCTTGGGGAACTGGGAGAAAGGCTCCTGGAGGAAAGGCAGGCAGAGGGCCTCTTACCGCAGGAGCATTTTCTTCCCCGTCATTCTTGGATGTGGTTTCACGCCTCCTGTGACAAACACTTACACTGAATGTATGAGACGTGCTTATTCCCGTTGCATGTCAGAACATGGCTATGGAACCCATTCTGGTGCACGGACATGCTCAGTGCTCTCCTCCCTGAACCTGAGTCTGGATATGGCCTTCTGCCTTGTTTCATGCGTCCCAGATACAACCTATAGTACATGGCAGGCAGTTGTGTTTAGGCTGGTCTGTCCTGAGAAAGTTCTGCAAAAGTGCACAGCATTAAAAAGTCTATAGGAAGCCGGGCGTTGGTGGCGCACGCCTTTAATCCCAGCACTCGGGAGGCAGAGGCAGGCGGATCTCTGTGAGTTCGAGACCAGCCTGGACTACCAAGTGAGTTCCAGGACAGCCTCCAAAGCCACAGAGAAACCCTGTCTCGAAAAACCAAAAAAAGAAAAAGTCTATAGGATTAGGCTGCCGTCCGCCCCATTCCTTAAGGTCCTCAGATCCCAGGTGCTTTGGGCAGATCTGCATAGTCAGTGAAAGTCAACAGTTGTGGGTAAACAAGCCTCAGGAATCTCATAAGGCCTGTTTCTGTTTACCAGGGCCTCTCTTAGTTCTCCCCAAAGATCAGTTCCCTCAGGCAAGTGCTTCTAGTTCCCTGTCAATCCAGCAGGCTATATAGCTCCGAGACCCCCAACCTGCAGTCACACATAAATCTGCCTGTCTTTCTGACATTTTGCTCCTCCTCAAGAGACAGCATTGGCAGTCTGATCCCCAATAAACCTTTCTACACACAGCGTGGTCCAGTTCAGTGGTTTCCCTGCAGCCTCATTTACAGCAGGAGGTAAAGCCTGGGCCAGAGCTGGGGTTGCAGCCTTAGCCTTAGTTTGGGCCTTGGCCTTTGGTTGGCAGAGCCTGAGACGCTTGACTCTGTAGCCATGACCTGGTTTCCAGAGCGCAAGTAAGATGGCAGTGCTTGCACGGGCCCTGCTGGCACCGTGGACTGAGCCTCCTATTCACAAGGGCCTTGAGAGTCTTACATGAATACCCACTGCCTTCCCGTTGTTTGCCAGAGTCTTCGGATTCAGGACCTACCTGCTGTATTTCTTTTCTTTTCTTTTTTCTTTTTTTTACAAGACAGGGTTTCTCTGTATTGTTTTGGAGGCTGTCGGTCCAGCCCAGCCTCGAACTCACAGAGATCCGCCTGCCTCTGCCTCCGGAGTGCTGGGATTCAAGGCATGGGCTACCACTGCCTGGTGTGATCTGGTTTCTTGATGACATTTCTATGCATTTGGGTACTGAGTGTGTATGGTAGAAGACTTGGGCCATGTTTTCACAATAGCCTGTGGCTCCCAAGGCCTTGGAACTAGAAGGGATGTTTGGTTTTTTGAGACAGCGTCTCACGTAGCCCAGGCTGTCCTAAATCTTGCCATGTAGCTAAGGATGTCTCTGAACTCTTGATCCTTCTGTCTCCATCCCTGGAGTTCTGGAATTACAGGTGAGTGCCTCACATTCATCTTTTTTTTTTTTTTTTTTTTTTTTTTTTTTTTGGTTTTTCGAGACAGGGTTTCTCTATTGTTTTGGAGGCTGTCCTGGAACTCGCTCTGTAGACCAGGCTGGCCTCGAACTCACAGAGATCTGCCTGCTTCTGCCTCCCAAGTGCTGGGATTAAAGGCATGTGCCACCAATGCCCGGCCACATTCATCTTTTTAATTTTCCTTTTAATCATTGACTTTTTATCATTTTCTTATAAATTCTTTTTTTTTTAGATTTTTATTTGTTTATTATGTATACAGTGTTCTGTCTGCATGTAGGCCAGAAGAGGGCGCTAGATCTCATTACAGATGGTAGAGAGTCACTATATGGTTGCTGGGAATTGAACTCAGGACCCCTGGAAGAGCAGCCAGTGCTTTTAACCACTAAGCCATCTCTCCAGCCCTTCTTGTAAATTCTTAACTTCCCCCTCACTAAATACGTTGGCTTGTCCCAGGCATCCTGAAACCCAACCCACTGGACATCCATTTCAGATGCCCAGGCCTACAGTGTATCATGTGCGCTGACAGTTTCCATGCCCCATTGCAAAGTGTGCCCCAGAGCCTCGGGTGCCAGCTCCCACTGCCCTACTCCTCTCCATTCCAACCAAGTCCCCTGGCCTCTCTCAGCACCTTGGCACCCTGGGGCCTGGCAGGGGGTGGGTCTCCGTGTGACCACAATGGAGCTGCGGTATTTTTCCATGTTTCAGAGGTGTCTGTCCCTACATCATACTCGATGGAACCTGCCCATCTCTGTCACAAGGAGAGTTTTATGAGTTTCCTGAAGGAATCAATGAGACAAGAGAGACCTACCTCTCTTATTGTTAGAAGAACAATCCAGGCTTCCAGGAGAGGGAGGCAGAACCCTTGGCCAGGACATACTGGGTGTGGTAGTGGCTCTAAAGTATCCTATGGCTCCCTTGGGACCAGGTGAGTCCTCAGACTCATCTGCACCATTCCATCCCTGATCCAAGCTCACATTCTGACCGGTTCATCATCCGGGACCGAGGGACAATCACATTCAATTGTGGGCAGCTTGGCAGGGGCAGCAGCTCTCTGTGATGAGATGCAGTTGGCACCAGAGTGTGGGACAAAGGACTAGCTGGCAGGGAATCAGAGAGTCCCTTCTGCCACCAGCTCCGGCTTTCCGCTGGGGATATGTAAGAGGATTAGGGCTCAGGACTCCAGACAAGGGGCTTTTATTCGCCGGACTGAATTTTCATTGGCTTACAAAGCCCAAGTGGAGGGGGAGGGTCTGTTCTCTGGTCTCTTTTGGGGGGCACAGAGAGCCCTGCCCCCTCGGTAATGGATGGAGGCATCTAGAGCCTACCACATCTGTTTAAGGCAAAAGCTCCAGGGTCCAGGGAGAGCCATTTACAGACCGGCAGGGAATTTCCTGAGTCAGCAGTGCCTTATATGGGAATCAAAGTCCTGAAATGTCAGGGCAGCAGAGGCATGTTGCCACCATTCCATTCTCTGAACATTTGTCTGGGGAAACTGAGTTACAGAAGAGGCGATATGTTGGAGTCCTCTGGAGCGGGGACTGGGATGAAGAAGGGAAGGAAGTGGTCCCACCTGGAGCAGGCTGTCCTCCCTCTGGTGCTAGGCTGATCTGTGTCCATGATGGGTGGCCTGTCTGTGCTAGTATCTCTCTCCCGGTCCCTGTCCCTGTCCCTGTCCCTGTCCCTGTCCCTGTCCCTGTCCCTGTCCCTGTCCCTCCCTCTCTGTCTCCGTCTGTGGCCCCTCCCTCCCTCCCTCCCTCCCTCCCTCTCTCTCTCTCTCTCTCTCTCTCTCTCTCTCTCTTTGAAACAGGGTTTCTCTGTGTAGCCCTGGCTGTCCTGGAACTCACTCTGTAGACCAGGCTGGCCTTGAACTCACAGAGATCCACCTGCCTCTGCCTCCCGAGTGCTGGGACTAAAGGACTGCACTGATGTGAGACTTTTTGGTTTGTTGTTGTTTTAGGCGGAATCTCCAGTGTCCCAGGCTTGCTCACACTCGCTGTATGTAACCCAGATGACCTTGGAGCCCTGATCCTGTGGCTTCTGTTTCCTCAGTATTGGGGTCACAAGCATGTGACACTACAGCCCCAGTGTGGAGTTCAGAGGGCGACTGTCAGGGTGAGTTAGTCGTCTTCTTCCATGTAGTTTCAGGGATCTAGTTTAGGTCACTAGGCTTAGTGCAAGCACCTGTGACCACAGAGTTATCTCTCCAGTGTTGCACACACACACACACACACACACACACACACACACACACACACACAATTAGAATTTGACATCTTTCATATTTGCTTCAGTTTTTCTTAAGAAAATAATATGTGGTACATCTCAGTGGTAGAGCACATGTTTAGCACAGGAAGGAAGAGAGGAAGGGAGGGGGAAGGGAGGGAAGGAGGGAGGGAGGGAGGGGAGGAAGGAGGGAGGGAGGGAGGGAGGCAGGCAATACACAGGAAATTAAATCCCCTGATACTTGTGTCCACTTTCTCCCTCCAGAAATAAGTACTGACAAGACTTTAATGTTGATTCTTCTCGTCTATGCCGTTAACAAATCCTGAGCTAACACTCTTCAATCCAATGTACCCACTGGGAATTCAGCAATGAACTTGACTGGCAAAAATTCTTCCTTAGGTGTCAAATAAATAACTTAGCTAAATAAATAACTGAAACATATAGTATTGCTAGTAAGAGAAACGCTCATGAGGAAAACACAGTGGAGAAGGGGACACGGGGGTGACAGGTGACTGCATGGCTTTGAAACAGGGCACACAGAAAGTTTCAGTTTCTATGATTGTCTAACACAAAACCCCCAGACTTGGTGGCTCAGACACAGAAACCAGCTCTGACCCATCCTGGTGGCCACAGATGCGGGACATCTTAACGGGGTGCTCTGCCTCAGGTCTCCCTTAGGATTGTGATCAGATGAGAGACGGAGCTGGGGTCTTCTCTTTGAAGATCACAAGTCTGGAGTCTGGCAGTAGACACAGAGGGGGATCCTCAGCATCTCTAACTGTCTTCAATGGCCTTTAAGCAGATTCAAGGCCAGGCTTTCTCTCAAAGCCATGAGGGCTCTACCGTAATGCATCTAAGAGTACCAGGCAGAGATGAAATGCCTTTTACCATGCAGCATTGAAGATCTTCTGTGTCTTTTTTTTTTTGGTTTTTCAAGATAGGGTTTCTCTCTGTATTGCTTTGGAGCCTGTCCTGGAACTCGCTCTGTAGACCAGGCTGACTTTGAACTCATAGAGATCCACCTGCCTCTCTGCCTCCCAAGTGTTGGGATTAAAGGTGTGCACCACCAACGCCTGATCTTCATCTTCCTTTTTAAAGGAGTCTTTTGCTCTCTCAACAGCCATTCTTAAGTCTATATCAAAAGAGGCTGGAGAGATGGCTTAGCTGTTAAGAGTGCATAAGCTGTAGGTCCTGAAAAGACAGTTATCTGATTGGCAGTTGGAAGGACAGGGCTGTTGTTGTGGTTTGAATGAAAATGGCCCCAATAGGCTCTTAAGGAGTGGTTCTACTAGGAGGTGTGGCCTTGTTGGAATAAGTGTGTCATTGGGGATGGACTCTGAGGTTTTAGATGCTCAAGTCAGGCCCAGTGTCATTCTCTCTTCCTGCTGCCTGCCAATCCAGTCGCAGACCTCTTGGCTCCTTCTCCAGCACCATGTCTGCCTGCATGCTGCCATGCTTCCTGCCATGAGGGTAATAGATTAGCCCTCTGAACTGGAAGCCAGCCACCCCAAGGTTTTCCTTTATAAGAGTTACCATAGTTCCCACCACTCGGGAGGCAGAGGCAGGCAGAACACTGTGAGTTCGAGGCCAGCCTGGTCTACAGAGCGAGTTCCAGGACAGCTTCTAAAACAATACAGAGAAACCCTGTCTGGGGAAAAAAAAGTTACCATAGGTATGGTGTCTCTTCACAGCAATAGAAACACTAAGACATCTGCATTCAATTTTGTTTTGTTTTTGTTTGTTTTGACAGGGCCTCTCATTATGTAGATCAGGCCAACCCCAAACTCATAGAGATCTGCCTGCCTGCCTCTACCTCTGGAATATGGGGATTGAAGGTGTGTGCCATCACACCAGGCTAAGTCCTGTATTCTTCTTTTTTAATTTATTTTTATTTTATGCACATTGGTGTTTTGCCTGCAAGTATGTCTAAATGAGGTGGGAACGGGAGTTACAGCCAGTTGTGAGCTGCCATGTAAGTGCTGAGAATTGAACTGGGCCCTCTGAAAGACCAGTCAGTGCTGAGGCATCTCTCCAGCCCCTAAATCCTATATTCTTTTTTTTTTTTTTTGGTTTTACGAGACAAGGTTTCTCTGTATTGTTTTGGAGGCTGTTGGTTCAGCCCAGCCTCGAACTCACAGAGATCCGCCTGCCTCTGCCTCCCGAGTGCTGGGATTAAAGGCGTGCACCACCAACGCCCGGCTTTATATTCTTGACCATAGAGTTTGGAGTGGGATTTTCAGAACCCACACAAAAAGCCAGCCATGATGGCATATGCTTGTAAGCCCAGCGATGGCAAGATGCAAGGTGGACACAGATGGATGCCTGGGGGTGTATTGGCCATCGAGCCTGACCTACCTGGAGAAGTTCCAGGCCAGTGAGAGACTCTGCCTCAAACAAAAGGGGGGTGCCCCCCCACCCCGCAGCTACCCTGACCTTTACATGATGGAGAGCAGATAGCCACAAGTTGGTCTCTTCCATCGACATGCCCACACTGTGGCAGGAGCATGTTCACAATCTTCCCCAATAAATAAATACATAAGTAAAATAAAAATATAAAATTAAAAGAGATGTTTAAGGCTATCATCTGCTACATAGTGAATTTGGGGCCAGTTATGACCTACATAAGGTCTTGTCTCAAACAAGCAACACTGGGCATAAGGGCACTCTGGAGGCTGAGGCAGGTTGATGTCTGTGAATTCAAAACCAGCCTGGTCTACCTAGGAAGTTGTTGTAGGTCAGCCAGGGCTATACAGGGAGACGCTGTCTTAAAAAAAAAAATAAAGTCGGGCATTGGTGGCGCACGCCTTTAATCCCAGCACTCGGGAGGCAGAGGCAGTCGGATCACTGTGAGTTCGAGACCAGCCTGGTCTGCCGAGCGAGTTCCAGGACAGCCTCCAAAGCCACAGAGAAGCCCTGTCTCGAAAAACCAAAAAAAAATAAAGAAAGAAAGAAAGAAAGAAAGAAAGAAAATATATCTCTTTATTTCTTTTGACAGGGTCACATCTAGCTTTAGTGGACCTCAAGCTCATTGCATTGCTAAAGGATCCTCCTGCCTTTACCACCTACGTGCTGGGATTAAGTGTGTGCAGCACAAGCCGGGCAGTGGTGGTGTGGTGCACACCTTTGATCCCAGCACTCAGCAGGCAGAGGCAGGCGGATCTCTGTGAGTTCAAGATCTACTACTCTGGTCTACAGAGTGAGTTCCAGGACAGCCAGAGCTACAAAAAGAAGCCCTGTCTCAAGAAACCAAGGGGGAGGAGAGAAAGGAAGGAAGGAAGAAAAGAGAAAAAAGAAAGTTTCACGAACTTTTCTGGTCTTGCCCCATGTCGGCACAGAATGTCCTGGGTGAGACAACACAGTAGAAGTAGCCAGGACCCACTTCCCCAGCCTGACACGTCAGTATGGCCAGGTGCTATCAGGACATAGCTTAATAGCAACCAGACTTCAAGCAAGAAAAGAAGTCTCTCGACCATGAAAACGCTCCAACCGAGCCATCACAGGAGTCAGAAGCAAAAGACCCGTAGGCTGCCGCCACGGCCTCTTATCAAGATACCCAAAGCCTTCAGCTCCCCTTAGCTGCTTCTGCCTCCAAATCCTCTACAGATGGAAGCGTTCTCTTCAGGGCTCAGAGTGGTGGCATGCTCACAGCACGGGAGGGCTTACGAGGCAGCGTTTGATGTTAGATAGCCCTGTTCTTCGAAGCGCCCTGGCAGCTGCGGGCCCCTCCTGCCTCCGCTGCTGGGCCAGTGGCCACAAGCTCCTCACCCCTGCTTCCGAAAAGCCCATTCATGGCTGCTCTCAGGGTCTCATCTCAACCCTGCTTCCCCTGTCTACACAAAGCCACCCTTTCTTCTCGGGGACACAGGTGGCAGTTGAAACTGTAAATAGTGATGTCTCTTCTTGGGGTTCCATAAAGCCCCCAAAGGGCAGCTTTGTCCGTGCGTGGTGCCAAGGAGTCTGATGAGGGCACTTGGTCTCCATTTTAGGCAGAACTAAGCAGGGCAGCACCCCAGAGCTGAAGGGCACCTTACAGACAGACCCTCCGGAATTACAGACAAGACAGGCAAGGTTCTTACTCTCAGCCAGAGCAGTGAAGACTCGAGTCCTCCACCTTCAGCTGTAAGCCGGAGCGGGCTGTCGGCCTTGCCTACCGCGGTCCCTCCAGGCCTCAGACTCACTAGTCCTGCACGTGCATGCTTCCTCCGTGACCTGGGCTGGCTACTGATGAATTCTCTCTCTACCGGCCTTTCACGTGGTGCTCAGGATCCTATTGCTTTGGAATACTTCACTGTCTTCACTGCCAGGCAGAAATCAGCATCTCCTGGCTTCCTGTCTGTCCTCCTCCAATGCAAGGCAGCCAGCGCTGTTGGCTTAGAGGCCTTCAGGACTACACACCCATCCATCAATTGCCCCTCAGCAGCAGGACGCCCAAGGCCCCCGCCTCTATTTCCGGTTCACACTACCTCAGACCCTCTTCTCAGCACTCACGTTGTGTGTGCTGCCTCTCGCCTCAGCGTGAGAGTTGAATCCCAAGAAAGTCATTCCAGGGGCTGGAGAAGCAGCTCAGCAAAATGCTTGCTTGCTTTGCAAATGTGAGGACTTGAGTTCGATCTCCAGCGTTCATGTAATCCCAGTGCTTGGGAAGTGAGACAGGGGGATCCTTGCCGCTCTTTCCAGCCAGCCTACCCTAATTGGCAAACCTAAATTGCTAGTAAGAAATCCCTGCCCCCTCTAGCAAGAGGCTCAGTGGGTAGAGGTGTCTGCTGCCAAGCCTAATGACCTGAGTTGTCGCCCCCCAGGACCCATGTGTTAGAAGGAGATCACCAGCTACCGAAAGCTGCCCTCTGCCCTTCACAGCCAAGTTATGATGTGCGCATGCCTTCGCCCACCCAGTCAGTAATCAGATGCCTGTAATTATAAAAATTCGCCTTAAAAAACAAAGTGCTATGCTCAGCAGGTAAAGGCGCTTACCACCAAACCTGATGATAGCCTGCTCTTGATCCCTGAGACCCACACGGAGGAAGGGAAGACCTGAGTCCCGAGACTTGTCCTCTGAGATCCACATGTGTGCCATGGACACCCACATCCACCCCCTAAATGGAAGTTGAACAATTGCACTCTTACTACATGAGAAAAATCCGCTTGTCTGTCCCTTTGGGTCCACGTTCTGGGAGAGGCTCTGCCAGTTTTCCCCAGAACTCTGCAGTCTCCAGTTTCACAACAGAACCCTGTCCAGGCCTTTCCTACTTCTCTCTCACTCTAGAGTTCGTTTCCAAGTTCCTTCCTCTTAGCCCAGTCATTTCAAAAGACTGGCTAAAACCTCTTCTCTCAGTTTCTGGAATTCTCTCTCACAACTGTCTTCCCCCTGACTATACCAAACTGACCACAGGTCCTTGTTTCTTTCATTCATTCTTATGTTTGTGTATTTAGGTATTCAAAGT